GAGATATGCAAGGAAACAGAGAAGTGTGACCCATACACAGGGGGAACAAAAGCAAATAGAAGTTATATTTCAATGGGCCCAGATGTTGGTCTTAACAGACAAACACTTTAAAGTAACTATTAGAAATATGTTCAAAGAAGTAAAGGAAACCACATTTGAAGAATTAAAGGAAGGTCTGGAGATAATTTCTGATTAAATAAAGAGAGAGACATAAAAAATAACACAGTGGAAATTCTGAAGTTGAAGAGTATAATCGTTGAAATGAAAAATTCAGTAGAATGTCTCAATAACAGATTTGAGGTGGCGAAAGAAAGAATTAGTGAACTTGAAGATAGATCAACCAAGATTATAGAGTCTGAGGAACAGAAAAGAAATAAGAATAAAAAAACTAAACAAAGTCTCAGAGACCTGTGAAGCACCATCAAGAACCACCATATGTATAATAAGAGTCCCAGAAAGAAAGGAGAGAAAGGGGCAGAAATCATATTTGAAGAGCTAATGACTGAATGCTGTCCAAATCTGACAAAAAAATATTGATCCACACATCCAAGAAGCTCAATAAGCCCTTCTCTGGTTCTCTTCTCCCATGACTGTGTGTCCTTCAGTGAGGGGCTCCCTCCTTTCTCACCTCCCTGAGGCTGGGCAATCTTTGGCTCTATAGACCAGAGGAAGTATTGGGCAAGGTGTCCAGAAGTTCTACTGTGTAGATTTGAGCATATTGGACCCTGCACAAAGGTATAAGGACAAGGGAGTCCAAGGAGGCTGTAATCCAGTCCATTCTTTACTTCCTAAACTATACACCTGATGCGTCCACCCAGAGAGAACTACTGAGCCATCCTTTTCTAATTTGACCAAAGTCTCAAACCATGCTCCAAGCCCTGTGACCACTGGGCTACATGAATTAGAAGGGACATCTTTTTCTAATTCTCACAAAGGCACTGTGTGGATAAGTGTGGGTGCTGGTGTGGAGGTAGGAATAAAGTGGTGGGACTCAGGGCAGATAGAAATGTCACTTCACAGAGGTATGCAATCACCGATACAATCAACCAGGTGGGACTTGAGGGTTACTAAAACTTAGGTCATCCCCAAACCTTACCTTCAACTCTGCCTGGGACTTGAGTGTCCAATCATAAGAGTGGCTACTTAATTTAATTAATTAATTAATTTATTTTTATTTATTTATTTTTTTAATTTTTATTTTTTTCGGATGTACATCATATTTCAAATTCTGGATACATTACATCATGTTCACCACCCAAACACTAATTATAGTGCATCCCCTCACATGTGACCCAAATCACCCCCTTTGCCCTCCCCCTTCCCCCCTTCCCCAATGGTAACCACCAGTCCAATCTCCAATGCTATGTGGCTTTTTTTTTTTTTTGGTCGTTTTTATCTTCTACTTATGAGTGAGATCATGTGGTGTTTGACTTTCTCCCTCTGACTTATTTCACTCAGCATAATACCATCAAGGTCCATCTATGTTGTCACAAATAGCTGGATTTCGTCATTTCTTATGGCTGAGTAGTAGTCCATCGTGTATAAATACCACATCTTCTTTATCCATTCGTCCCTTGATGAGCACCTAGGTTGCTTCCAAGTCTTGGCTATTGTGTATAATGCCGCAATGAACATAGGGGTGCAAGTATCTTTATGCCTTTGCGTTTTCAAGTTGTTTGGATAAATACCCAGCAGTGGAATAGCTGGATCATATGGTAGATCTATCCTTAATTTTCTGAGGATACTCCCAACTGCTTTCCATAGTGGCTGCACCAGTTTGCACGGCCACCAGCAGTGAATGAGAGTGGCTACTTTAGTTTTAATGACTTCAAAAGGCCTTTCCGAAGTATTCCTTTATTAACAGAGTGAGACAACCCAGGCCAGCACGGTGATTAAGAGCTATGTGACCTTGAGCAGGTTGACTTCCTTTTCTGAGTCTTAGCTTTTTCTTTTATAAGGTAGGGCAATGATATCTATCTCAGAGGGTTGTCACAAGGAAGGAGAAGGAATGTAAAGTGCTTAGCCAAGTATTTGGCACATAATAGACTTGTAAGCTATTATTAATGCTTAAAGTGTAGTCACCAAAGGCAGGAGTGGTGTGTGACTTCTGACACAGTGCTCCTGCAGTTGTACCTTCCCTTACCAGGAGAGCTGGAGCCTCTTGAAAGTCAGTCTTTTTCTTGGGGGCATTCGTCTCCTTTTCCTTGGCTCTGCAAAGCAACTTCTTTCTGGACCCGCTTCTCTCCAGGTTACATTGGCCGGCATTGGGGCTAGAGACTATAGTCCTGGCTTCTTGGAGCGGGAAGGGATCTTAAAGGGCCTCTGGCTCAGGGATTTCCAAAGACTACTGTGTGGATAAGCTTCAGATTAGCACCATTGGGAGGAGCTTGTTAAAATGCAGGTTTCCCAGAGCCCTCCTATAGAGAGTCTTTTTCAGGAGGCCTGGGGTGGGACTTGTGAATCTGCTTTTGACTAGTGCCCCAGATGATTCTGGTCCTCTGCCCCTGCTCCCTCATATCTTCAATCATGGAATGCCCTAGAGGGCACCAACTATATACGTCAGGGTTGGGGACGCAGGTTGACAGGAAGGCAGGCTCTGGCTGTAGAAAGACTTTCCCTCACCTAAGCCCATTTCCTCTGCCTCCCATACCTTGCTGACATGACCAGGTCTGAGCTTTGAAACCATAATGCAGAAACCAATTTTCTCCCTCATTCCCATGTCATGAACAGTGACAGCCATGTTCCTCAAAACTGAAAACAGCTCCTATCTCCTCCTCAACCCTCTTCATGCTTTGCTTCTCCAGACTCAGCAAACTTACCACGCTCTATGTAACTAATTGGCTTAGAGATATTGCTGTCTCACCAGGGGCCTAGGAAACTGAGCAATTGCCATCAGCTTTCATGGTTTTCCAGGCATGATGGAGCAGCAGTAGGTGGCGGCTATGTCCCAAAGTGTCCCCATTTTCTTCTTTCTTCCCTCCTTTCTACTCTCCTTCTGGTCTTGTTCAGGAGTGACAGGTGTTATGGGAGCACCGTCTGTTTGCTACTTCAAGTCCTCCAAACCAACATGTTGAACATTGCTGTATACACTTCGTACAGAGGGCACATTAGTTTTGCTTGGTGAGCATGCCCTAATTGGGTTCTCAGAGGGAAATTCTAATACCAGTACACAGAAATAAGAACCAGCCGACAGATGGTGTGAGAAGCATGATGGGGAGAGTGGCAGCCAGGGCTGCATGTCTCTTGGAGTCTGTATCAACTATAAGACTGACAGGCTGGATCTGGAGGAAGCAGCCAAGCTCCCAGTGGAAAGATAAGATCAGGTGGCAGAATGAAGTAATCCTTTGTAATATTTATACAGTAAGTCTCTGCCCACTTAGGGATGTCTCTGCATAATATGAAAGCAGCTACTTTGGACCTGCTGTTTTTTGTTTTGTGTTGTTTGAGGGTTTTTTGCGGGAGGGGGGAGAGGGTACTTTTCTCCTGGGTTTCTTGGGTGGTACATGAACTCAAGTCATGAGGCCTTGCCCCCACTCAAGATATCCTAGCCCAATAATCTCTAGCCTGTGGGCTGCAGACTCCTTATTGCAAGTAGTCTGTGAATCCACACACTTGGATATTCTGTACTCTCATAATTGGGTAACCTAAACTTTTTGAAATACCTTTTTGAGGTCCTTTTCTGGAAACCTTCTTTCAAGTCTCAGTTCTTAGCTTTTCTTTTCTCTATCTACAATTATTCTCTTGATGATATACAGTCCCCTAGCTTTACCATCTTAATCCCTTTCCCCCACTCTACCGCCAAACCCTCTCCACCTACAGCCTTCTCCATCTTAAAACCTCGAAGTCATCCTTGACACTTCTCTTCTCTCACATTCTACATGCATCTCTCAGCAAATTCTGTTAGTTCTACTTTCAAAATACTATATATCTGGAATCCAACTATTTCTCCCTACTGGTTCTACCCTATTCCTAGAGTCCTAGTTGAAGCCATCGTCCACTTCTTTCCCGAATTTCTGCAAAAGTTTCCTAACTGTTCTCTCTTCTGTCACCCTTGACCTTTAAAGTCTGTTCTTAACAGCTAAGTGATGCTTTATTTTAATTGAAAATTTTATTGTTATAATTATAGGTTCACATGCGGTTGTAAGAAATAATTCAGAAAGACCCACTGACACCTTGCTCAATTTCCCAGATGGTAACATTTTGCAAATCTGTAGTGTAATATCACAACCAGGATATTGACATATAATTCACTGATTTTATTCCTATTTTCCCAGTTTTACTTGTACTTGTGTATGTGTGTATTAAGTTCTGTACAATTTTATCACTTACATAGGTTCCTGTATCCACCATCACAGTCAAGATACAGAACAGTTCCACAAGGATCCTTATTTACCATATATGTATCCTCTTCAGTGAAATCTCTGTTTGTGTATTTTGCCCATTTTCTAATTGAATTTTTTAACTGTTGAGTTTTGAGTTTTGAGAGTTATTTATATGTTCAGTACTTGTCCTTTGTTGGATATGTGGTTTGCAAATATTTTCTCCCATTTTGTAGCTTGTTGATTCATCCTCTTTACAGAGTTGTGCAGAGCAAAAGATTTTTATTTTGATGAAGTCTAATTTATCAGTTTTTCCTTTTATGGATTGTGTTTTTGGTGTCAAATCTAATAAATCTTTGCCTAGCCCTAGACTCTCAAGATTTTTTTCTACGTTTTTCTTGAAGTTTTATAGTTTTATGTTTTACATTTAAGTCCATTGTTAGGAAAGCAGCCATCGCACAACCTACCCCTCCCCAGGCTTGCCCACTCACAGCCTTGGACCTGAAACATTTTCTTACCAAGAGATAAGAAGCCCTCACAGCCTGTGCTGTGCTTATCACCTTGTGTGGGAATATTTTTCCCTGTTTCAGACTCAATGTGACTCCTTTTTTCTGCTTAAGCCTGTGCGTCATATGGCACCTGGCCAACCCCACTGCTATATCTGTCCCCTGCCAGGGACATGAGTGATGAATGCAGGTCAATTGCCCTGCTGTGGTGGCTGCGAGGGACCAATGCCCATTGTTGGAGCTTTCTCTCTCTTCTCTATGTAAGTAAAGCATTGCTCCATTCAGTGCTTGACTGTGTTGTGCTTTCCTTGATGACTCCAATACCAAGATGCAGTGGGTATCCTGGTGGTTGACATAGTTATGATCTTTGCTATCTTCTTTTAAGTTGGAGTCCTCCCCTGGCATTGGTAACTGGTGTTTCTGCTTGACATCCATGATCCATTTTGAGTGTTTTGTTTTCTTTGTATAAGATGTGAGATTAATTGACGTTCTTTTTTTTTGTCCCCTATGAACGTCCAATGGCTCCAGCACCATTTGTTGAAAAGTTCATCCTTCCTCTGTTGAAACATTTTGGCAATTTTTGTCACAAATCAGTTAGGCATATTTGGGTGGGTCTATTTCTGAGTTCTCTATTCAGTTCCATTGATCTATGTATCTATCCCTCTGCCAATATCACACAGTCTTGATTACTGTAGCTATAGGGTAAGCTTTAATATTGAGTAGAGTGATTCCTCCCACTTTGTTTTTCCTTGTCAAGATTGTTTTAGCTATTCTAGGGCTTGCACCTTTCCATATACATTTTAGAATAAGCTTGCCTAAGTCTGCAAGAGAACTTGCATGGATTTTTATAGGAATTGTATTAAACCTATAAATCATTTTGGGTAAAACTGACATTTTTACTATGTTGAGTCTTCTAATCCATGAGCACAGTATGCCTCTCCATTTATTTAGGTCTTTCAAAAATTTGTTTTGTTAGGATATGGTTATTTTCAGTATACAGATCTACATAAATTTTAAGTGCATACAAAAGTATTTCATTTTCTTTTCAGTGACTGCCAATGGTATTGTGTTTTTAATGTCAGGGTCTGTATGTTCATTGTTAGTATATAGGAAAGCAATTGAATTTTGTGTGTTGACTTTGTAGCCTGTAACTTTGCTGAATTACCAATTATTTCTGGGAGTTTTAAAGATATATTCCCTTGGATTTCCTACCTAGACCATCATGTCATCTGCAAATAGGGACAATTTTATTTCTTCCTTTCTAATCTGTAGGCCCTTTATTTCTTTTTCTTGCCTTAACGCAGTAACTACAACTTCCAGTATTATGTTGGATAAGAGTGGTGAGAGTACATATCCTTGCCTTGTTCTTGACCTCAGAGGGAAGCATTCAGCCTTTCATGATTGAGTATAATGTTAGCTGTAGGTTTTTTTTGTAAATGCTCTTTAGCACATGTTCATATAATATCAAGAGACACATCATGTTCATGGGTTAGAAGACTACAATTAGAAGAGTCATAGTAAATAGATCAATTCACCTCCAAATGATCTATAGGTTAAGTCTTCTCTATTCCTATTTTTCTAAGAGTTTTTACCATGAATGGGAGTAGGATTTTGTTAAATGCTTTATATGCACTAATCGATATAAGCATATGCTTTTCATTCTTTAGCCTATTGATATGGTGAATTATATTACTTAATTTTCAAATATTGAACTAGTCTCACATGCCTGGAATGAATATCACTTTTTATTGATGTATAATTCTTTTCTTACAGTGCTAGATTCAGTTTGCTAATGTTTTCTTGAGGATTTTTGCACCTAAGATCATCAGAGATGTTGTTCTTTAGCTTTCTTTTTTTGTACTGTCTTTGCCTGTTTTTTGGTATCAGAGCAATACTGGCTTCAGAAAATGAGTTGGGAAGGAACTCCCAACTCATTTTCTATTTCCTCCCTGTTATATTTCATTTTCATTTTCCTCCCTGTTCTATGTTTTTGAAAGAGTTTGTGTAAAATCAGTGTTAATTCTTCTGTAAATGTTTAGCAAGCAATTTTTTCCTGGGAGGTTTTTAATTATGAATTCAATTTCTTTGATAATTATAGGTATATTCAGTTTGCCTATTTCAACTTGACTGAGTTTTGATAGTTCGTGTTTTTTGCAGAGTTGACCTATTTAATCTAAGTTGTCAAATTTATGTGTATAGAGTTGTTTTTTTTTTTAGATTTTTTATTTTTTCCTTTTTCTCCCCAAAGCCCCCCAGTACGTAGTTGTATATTCTTTGTTGTGGGTCCTTCTAGTTGTGGCATGTGGGACGCTGCCTCAGCGTGGTTTGATGAGCAGTGCCATGTCCGCGCCCAGGATTCGACCCAACGAAACACTGGTCCGCCTGCAGCAGAGCGCGTGAACTTAACCACTCGGCCACGGGGCCAGCCCCATGTGTATAGAGTTTTTTTTGTAGTATTCCCTTATTCTCTTTCGATGTTTTCAGGGACTGTGATGATATCCCTTGTTTTATTCCTGCTATTGGTAATTTGCATCTTTTCTTTTTTTCTTTGTCAGTCTTCTTAATCATTTGTCGATTTTATTGGTTTTTTCAAAGAATCTACTTTTTGTTTCATTGATTTTCTCTATTGTTTTCTATTTCACTGATTTCTATTCTTGTCTTTATTATGTATTTCCTTTTCCTTGCTTAGAATCCATTTAATTCTTCTAGTTTCTTGAGATAGGAACTTAGATGATCAATCTGAGACATTTTCTTATTTCTACTGTAAGCAGTTAGTATTAGGAATTTCTTTCTCAGCACTACTTTAGCTGCTTACCACAAATTTTTATATGTTGCATTTTCATTTTCATTCACTTCAAGCTATGTTTTGATTTCCCTTTAGACTTGCTCTTTGACCCATGGATTATTTAGAAGAGTGTTGTTTAATTTCCAAGTGCTCGGGTATTTACTTGTTATTTTTCTGTTATTGATTTTTGGTTTGATTTCATTGTGGTCATTGAACACGCTCTATATAATTTCAATTCTTTTCAATTTATTGAGGCTTGTTATATGTACCAGGATATATCTTGGTGAACGTTCCATAGGCTCTTGAAAAGGATGTGTATTCTGCTGTTGTTGGGTGAAGTGTTCTAATGTGTCAATTAGAACCTGTTGGTTGATTGTGTTTTTCAGATCTTTTCATCTTTGATGATCTTCTGTCTAATTATTGTACTGGTTGTTGAGAGGAGACTGTTGAAGTCCTCAACTACAATTAAGCTATTTCTCTTTTAAGCTCTGTACATTTTTGTTTCATTTATTTTGAGGTTCTGTATTTTGATGCATACAGGGTGATGCTTTTAAATCTTATTTATATCATGCTTCTCCTCTGCTGCAAAATCTCACAATGATTCCCGATTTCATTCAGAACTGTAGATAAAGTCCTTATAGTAGTCTACAGGGCTCCATAAGATCTGGCTCTTGGCTACCTCTCTAACTTCGTTTCTCACTGTTCTCTCCCTCACTTACTCTGCTCAGCTACACTGGCCGCCTTGATCTTCCTAGAGGAGAACAGGCAGATTGCCTCCTTAGGGCTTTTACTTTAACTCTTCATTCTGCTAGGAATGCTCCTCCAACTTGGATTGGGAGTTTGGGGTACAGTTATTTCAAGAATTGTTAGTTTTATTTAAGAGGGAAGCCAAGGCCTGGAGAGGGAAAATGCCAATAACAAACAGTGTTATTATTGGTAGAGCCAGGGTGTTATGGAGAAAAGCGAGCCTCAATAAGAGCAGTGAGAGAAGGTGAATGAAGAGAGATAAACAGCAGCAGCTCTGGTTTTATGTACAGGAAGAACTGACACCCCAAATTCCCTCATTTTAAAATCTCTCTCCCAGCAGCCTGGCACTGAGTCTGAAATTCTAGCAGTGTACCTCTTCAGGATAAGCATGTAAAGGTTCTGAGGAATCTGGCAGTATAAAATCATGTATAACTTAGATTTAATCCAGAGCTTTAAAAAATTATTTGACAACAGCACATTCCCTTCCCTAAAGCCTATCCCACAAAATTCACTTTGGGAAACATTGGGTTAAAGCTTTGTTGTTTCCAGAAAACTCCTGCTAAAAGGCTAATATTACTGGAAAGGCCTTACCTTACAGAGTCTTTCTTACTCTGTGATGATTATTTTATCCAATTAGCCCAGAGGTTGGCAAACCATGGCAAAGGCCTAGCCCTCCACTTGATTTTGTAATAAAAATTTATCAGAACATAGCTATGTTCATTTGTCTCTGGCTGCTTTCTCATTACAGTGTAGAATTGAGTAGTTGTGACAGAGATGTACGGTCAGCAAAGCCAAAAATATTTACTGTCTGACCCTTTACAGAAAAAGTTTGCTGAGCCTTGGATTTACCCATTAGCAAGGCCATGAGATTTATCTATTGCTGCCTAAAAAATGACAACAAAAGTTGGTAGCTGGCAACGATCTATTATTATTTCTCATGGTCCTGTGAATTGAGTGGACTCAGCTGGGAAGTTCTCATTTGGTGTCTTTCATGCAGTTACAATCAGATGGCAGCTGGGGCTACCATCATCTGAAGGCTCAACTGGGCTGAACATCCAAGATGGTTCACTCACATGGCTGGCAGTTGATTTTGGATTTCAGCTGGGAGCTCAGCAGGGGCTGTTGACTAGAGCACCTTTAGATTGGATTTCTCACAGCATGGCTGCCAGGTTCCCAGAGGAATCATTTCAGGAGTTGGAAGTAGATACTGCCAGCTGTCTTAAAGGCTAGGCTTGGAGCTGGCATAATGACACTTCCACCTTATTCAGTTGGTCAAAACAGTGACAGGCCAGCCCACATTCAAGAGGGCTTGAGGAATAAACTCTACCTCTGCGTAAGGGAAGGGCAACAGTGTACATGATAGGACGGTATTAATGCTGATTAAATTGAAGACAAGCTACCACCATGGGGAAGTAGTATGAGGTTCTTGGCGAGCAGAGTGTAGAAGGTTTTCTCCGGAAAAAACTTTCAGTGTGATTGAAGCCAACTTTGTTTTCACCTGTGCCTATTTTATAGATAATTATATTGAGGCTCAGAGCATTAGGAGAAGCTACTGAAGGTTAATGTCTGCCTCACAGTGTTGACAAGGACCTTAGCTGGCTTGCTGGAAGTATATGACTAACCCCAAAGGAGACAGGAGTCTGGGGCCAAGGGGCTGATATGAGGGAGCTGACAGTGCCTGAGTCTCTGAGTAGGGCTCCCTCCTTTCCTTAAGCCTTTCCTTACTCC